TTTGTATAATTCTTATTGATGCTGCTGAGAGACGCAATATGCATCAAAGGAAGAATAAATTATGTCTCTTAAACATTTCCATTAAGTTTTCCATTTCATATTTTGCCGATGTCATTAGTGCAAGAAAGAATCAGTCTTAATGATGCAGCTGCGTGCTCGTGTACAGAGAGGGGCCATGTTTGAGCTTTGAGAACGCTGCATTTCTTTCTCTAAGCATAGCAGAAGAGCAGGCCTCGGCTGCCTGACTTGCAAATACTGTGTGTTAAGCAGAACAAGGTAAGGACATGTGTTGTCTGCTTGCAGAGTTGCTTGAGTGCTGCACCCCGTAATTCTTGTAGTTCAAATCTCTTACGTGTCCCCTGCATCCTGTATAATAGGCTTTGCATTTGGTTACAGGTTTTCTATTATTTGCCTGCTCACTTCATTCACTAGAGAGAGGTAATATAGCAAATAATGGGAACCTCTTTGTAACCAATTGATAAAAATCCTAGTACTCTTGGTGAAAGCGACCCACGAGATGACTCAGAGGCTCCTGGATGCTGCTTCATTTACACGCTGTCAGGGCTCTTGGCGTGCAGAGAAGCTGCAGCAGAATCAGTTTGAAACAAGAGCTCAGAAGCTCCCATTAATTGTTATGGCAGTTTGTACCTACTTGGAGCATTTGCCCGTTCCCCAATCAGCCAAGGGTAATGTATTACTGCAGAAGTCCTATGACAAATTTCTTAATTTGCAAGTTTCACATTTTTATTGTTTAATTCCCTTGGAGGTTTTTACCTCAGGAGCACAGTGAATTAACTTGACAGTTTAAATAACTGTACATGTGTTTCCTTCTGTTGTAAGAACACAAGATGGGTACACGAGAGTTAAACTTACTCTGTGTATTTAATCTGGACAATATATGCCAAATTCCTTGGGCATTTATTGTTAGGAAATGAAAAATGACAGGTGCCCCTGCCTGTAATGAAGCTCTTCTCGGAGGCTGAAATGCTTTGGAGCAAGCTCATAGGCTGGGGTGTAAACATACACCCCAGTCACATGAGTTTATCTGGTGACTGGGATCTGTCACCTCCACGTTCCCATAAGAACTTGTAGTCTGTTACATGCAGCTCTGTGTAGACTTAAGCAAAAATAAAGCAGATAAGGATATCCACTGTCCCTTTTGCTGACTGAGAACAAGTATTACGCAGTTTGTAATAGGGTAACCTTTTTCAGAGACACCAGTGAATTAAAATCTGAATATCTCCCAACATGTCTAAATTACATTGGCTGGGTCCTGGTCCTGTTGCACGTTATTCTTTGCCTTTCTTTTGTTGAGGCTTGATATGCTTTATATCTAGCTGTTTCTATTTGTAACGCTGCCTCAGAAATTGCTTTCCTAACCCTGAAGCGTCCTTTACCTAGCCCTCATCTTCTCACATTTACAGATGTTTTTAGTCAAGGATCTTCCCAGTCTAGCCTCTTTCTGCCTCGTTTCTACTTAGCACTGGGAAATTCACTTCCTCCCCCTCTGCTTTCAGACACCCCTTTGTGTCGGATTAGCAAAAACTTTTCTCCCAATTGATATATATATATCAAAGTTCTCTGCTCTCCCCTAAACGATGCTCACACTTTGGATAGGCTTCCCCTGAAGATCTAGAGTCTTCACTGTTCTTGCACAGATCTTCAGCTGCAGTCTTGCAGTTGAGCCTGCAAAAAAACCTGCAGCAGTGTGGCTGCTGTTTTTTTGAAACTATTGATGCTGCAGTAATGTAAATGTGTTTGCCTGGCCATTGATATTTGCCATTTATTCATAATGCCTGCCATCTGTCAAGGTACACACACAGGTTAACAAGGTAGCCGGTCCCTTGGGAAAGCTGCGTCGCTGCCTCTGACTATAGCAACATTTCTCCATTTATCTTCAACAGTCATGTTAGCACAGTGTCTGTGGCACAAAAAGGCACAGAAATGTGGATCCCCAATTCCAAACTGTTTCTTTCTCTTTTCCTGTTCCATGTTTCCTCTTTTCTTTAATAAGTCCTAGGGAAATGACATGCCTTTAACTTCTATGTTACCATAGAGGTGTTTTCCCTCACTGTTGAGAAGGTTTGACCACAATTGTCTCTTTCAAAGATGCTCAGTATGGCTCTAATCATTATAAACTGTAATAAGATTTTGGAATCTTCCATCCATGCAATACAGATTGACTGTATTTGCTGTCAGGATAGGTTGTTGAAATAGCGCTATTAACTAACTTAACAATTTTTTCAAGCACTTTAAAAGGTATATGCCACAACTACTTTTTAAATACTGATGTATTTTTTATAATAGTTTTATCATAACAGTGTAGTGGTTTGCTGTTGTTGTTTTTGTTTTTTGTTTTGTCTTTTTCTTTCCCCTTCATACTCCTGTATTTAAGAGTATGCTGTATTACTGCCATAGATTTCAGCTCTCAGGTCCATTTTGCTTCTGTTTTCTCTTTGTTCACCCCTTAAAATAATCTGCAGATTTAACCACCATGTGTTTTACCTAAGAAACCTATAAGCTTCCATATTTCCTTATTAAGTTCTTAAAGTTACTTTCTGGTGCAGTTCTTTGAAATAACAAGAAGTCGAGGAGTGTTGGTCTGGATCCTGTCAGCTGGTTTCTGGTCTTCAGAATTGCTCCTCTGACCCTCTCAGGAATGAGGTCTGCCTTTTTTTGGAGGGAGCGTTATGATGGATTGCAAAGGATACTTGCAGTAGCTTCAGAAATGTCTAAGCAATGGTTCTATCCAGCATGCAAAAACTCTGTGGTCTTTACACTGTAAAATGTATCCTTTTCTGTAACTGCATGTCAACATGGGAGCTTCTTGAAAGAATATCATAGCAGGAACATGCATATTTTCAAGTGACAAATCTGGCACTTTGCGCTAGTCTGTTCTTTTTTTCTCCTTTTTTTCTCAATGAATTCTCCAAAGTTCCTAAGCCCTTATTTAATGATTTCTCTCATGGGAGATTCAAAGGAGCTTAGGTTGACTTGATAGAGTGCCAGGGAAGGCAGTGGTACTTCAAAGTAGCAGCTAATAACTTCAAACTCTCCTTAGCCTGTCCTTAGGCTTGCCAGGACAGAGAGATTTTTCATCCTGAGAAGCAAAAGGAGAGAGAGGCCGGTCTTCAAACGGGAAGCACTCGGTGGCAAACAGATAAATAAATCACTTTCCTGTCTGTTTTCTGTTGGGGCCTCTCTGCCTCTGGATGCCCTGTCTCTTGGGACAGCCCTGAAAACCAGAGCTGGCTGGCGGCTGTCTGCACCAAACAAGGTGTTTAGGGGAGGTGGGGTAATTGTTCATGAATTTGAGTTGATTTTTTCTAAGTTTGACTGGGGAAAATGAAAAGATGAAACATTTCAGACACATTAAATGTTTTCAACACATTAGCAGAAGGGAGTTTATGTTTAAAAATCAATATTATTTTCAGAGAAACTGGAAACTAGAAGATAGTATAATAATTGTAAAATTAAATGAAACATTTGTGTGAGTCAGAGAAAATCTTGGAGATTGTTTTTCAGTTTTATCTTTCCTTTTCTCCAGCTTATTTTTTTCTGCCACAACTTTTTTTTTCTTTCCCAATGATTTTGTATCATCTAGCACCAACAAACCTAACCTGCTATCAGGCAGCCTCTGTGTCATCTTCTCTATGTCTAAAATAAGGAATAATGATACTGACCAGCTTTCTAAAGTGCTTAGAGATCTGCTGATGGGATGTGTTATTGGACAGAGATTTGTGTGTGTGTGTGTTAGATTTTAAAACCATTTACTTTGGTTTGAAAAAAAAAAAAAAAAGTTCAGTGTTTTTCCTCCAGGTCTTCATATCTATTTTGCCTTATTTTAGGAAGATTATGTTGTCCTTTGACAGATTGTGTGTACATGCACCACCTCCTCTGGAAATCCTTACCATAATGCACTTTTTCTATTTCCTCATTTAACTGTACTTTTTAATCTGTATTTTTAAAGCATATCTGTGAATATCTCCTTTGTCCTGCTGTCTTTTAATTAACTCATCCCCACTGCTGTTTTTATTATGCATCTCTAATACTCTAATTAACACTCTATGCAATATACTGAAGGAAGAAGTTAGTATCTAAGATGCAATAAAAGATGAAAGAGTTTATCACTGAGAAACAAAATAATAAAATCAAAAGTGTGTCTTCATCTTCCTTCAGTGATAAAGAAGTGCTACTGCTGATGTAATTTTGGTTATTTTTTTCTTAAACTAAATGTATGTTTTGTCTGTAAGATACAAAATATGTTAAAACTGCATTGTTCTGTGGTGTGGATGTGTTTATCTGTAATTACTGTATTGATACTACTTTTTAATAGTGCTTCTGTGCTTATGAGAAGGTTAGTTCACAGACACTTCACCTCGAGGTCCCACTTGCTTGGGCAGCTCTACCCAGTTCCATGATGGGTCCTGGACTGAGTCAGGATTTTCATGAGCAATCTCTGTTTGCAAAGAGTTCAGTTTCAGCTCATGTACTAATCCTGTTTCTGATGAGTTATTCCTGATTCAGTAGAGACATTTTCTCTCAATATCCTTCAACTTGTTAAATTAAAAAGAATCCCAACTCTTCACCATGATAATTAGTCTAATGTTTTGTCCTTGTCTTTTGCCTTTCAGCTTTTTTATTTTTTTCTCCTTTCTAGTCAGTTGAAACTGGTTTTTATCTCTCTGCAGACTGGTTTGTTTGTTTTGTTTTTCTATGATGCTGTTTTTGCCCGTCTGTCTTATCCGTGACCCTACCTAGCCATGCATATTGTATGTGTCCTGATGAGAGGTGTATGTTTCCCAAAAAGAAAATTAGTTGTTAGAAAGCCTCGAGAGGCCTAGCGTGAAGATTAACTGCTCCATAAGGATGATAATCAGATTTGAGTTTTCTTCCTCTTAGGCTCCCCTTCCAGTTCATGTTTATTTCCTACTATCCATTACTTACCATACTGTCCTTCAATGGTAATTTATAGACTTCTTTTCTTCTTTCTTAAACAGGTGGTCTCTGCATAGCTCAGTCCCTGAAAATCCCACAGGATCGCAAAGACAAGACCATCGACTTTGATAAAATTATCAAGCAGCTTCTAGAAACTCCCAATGCCAGGGCCATCGTTATTTTTGCCAACGATGAGGACATAAAGTAAGGATGATTGGGGAAATTAATTTATTTGTTTTGTAGATATACGTAAAAGAGAAAGCAAGTAAGAATACAACTAATTAGGTAGAAATACCTGTTGGTAAAAATACTGCAGGAACATGGAGTTTACCCTTTGTCACAGCAGCGAGGGAGTGCTGCGCACGTCTGATGAATGATTTCCCTGTGACTCCAAACCGCGTCATAAGATTACTCATGCGTTTGGTGGCAGACCTGACCTTCCTTCTCAAAGAGACATTATGCCTCTCCCTTCATGCTCATAATACTGTGTATTATTTATTAATACAGGCAGTTTTAGGACAAATAATGGCTACTAGTGATAAAATGGCTTGCATGTTCAAGGTTAAATCACACAGATACTATTTGATCTTAAAATAATAGCTTAAAACACTATGACTTTCATTTTTTTTTCTGGCCTTTGTTACATCTTCTCTGTCTATAACTTTTAAAATAGCTTAGAATTTTGATTTGTATGTCAATATGAGTGGCTCAGTTATATAGAACAATGCTAACGAAGATAAGATAAAGTTTCAGTAAAGTCAATGGCAACATTTTAAGTTTTAGTGGAATCAGGATTTTATTCTTAGTATACAAAATGAATTAAACAAGAATCAATCTGTGCTGCATGGATCATGGCAACTATTGTGAGATTTGTGTGCTCTGTTAGTTACAGGAATATGCCTTTTCTGTTCATTCTGCAGTCTTGCAGCATGCTATTTTTACTAAGCAATTAAATACTTCAATTAAAATTGTGAACAAAATGTTCTTTTCTGCAGGCAAATCCTTGCAGCCGCTAAAAGGGCAGATCAAGTTGGTCATTTTCTGTGGGTGGGCTCAGACACTTGGGGCTCCAAAGTGAGTCCATTAATTCAGCAAGAAGATGTTGCTGAGGGAGCAATCACCATTCTGCCCAAGAGAGCTACCATAGAGGGTAAGAGCTCTTTCTGGTTGTCTTTGTCACAGCTTCTCACTGTTTTTTGCTTGTTTTCATGAATCTCCAGTGATACAAAATTGATTGCTTATATATTCTGTTGTATTTTACATGAATAAATAAGTATAGATATGGTAAGATAAAATAAGTTTTCATCACCTGAGATTTTTCCCTTATGTCTTCCTGATCTGAAAGTATCCACAGTTGAAAACCCACCAGCAGTTATTTAGTAGAAGCATGATTTCAGAGCTTATATTAAGGTTTGCTAATAGCCCAAGACCCTTACCAACTCAAGTAAAATAAAGTGGTCTTAATGTATGATATGTGTACATAAGAAGGATTGGAAGAAAAAAATCTGTTGCAATTTATATGTCACTTGTAATATATTTACTACTGAAGAAGTAAAAATTCATTTTCAGTTGAGTAATGTCCCTATATTTTAATTTATATATCATTCAGATCAAACGTTACATGTATTTATTTTACTAACATTGTTCATAAAATATGTATTTGTAGATACACAAGTATATACAAATTTAGGCACATTGTATTTTCTTTACATAACTACTTTCTTTTTCATCCCTTCCTTTGTTATGCCCTTTGTCTGCATAGGTGCTTAACAATCCAAATGGCTTCCTCCAGGGCAAACCAAACCTGATGATTAGAATCTGTTCTCCTTTAATATGAGAAGAAAACTTCTTTTTAAGGGAGACAAAAGTGTTGAAAAAGATCTCCTCTGCCAGTATGTGGCTTTATGTTCCTCATCTGTCTCTCCACAGAGTCTTTGGAACATATTTCATGCGTTAAAATAAGCTCTGGTGTCACAGGGAGATCACATAGTTGGATTCCTTGTTATTGTGTCTACACTACCACCCTATTAATTATTCTTCACAGAACTATAACATATTTCATCCTTTTATATTTTTGAAATATTGGAGACATTTTTGCATGTTATGTTTCCATAATGACATAAAGTTCTTAGAGAATTAACTGATTGTTTTTTCCTGAAAAATGGATGGTTTAATTATCCTTTCATACCATCTGTGTTCATCCTTGAGGGTTTCTGACCTAGAAACTGAGGGTCTACCAACAGTACATACACTGACATATAAAACTTTTGCTAGTTTACTTGTTTTAGAATATATTCCTTTTATATTACACAGTAAGCGCATTTGACATGAGGGGAAATATGTCATCTCCTTTTGGAAACATGGTGGTGACTGTAAACCTTCAAACCTTCATGATTTAAACATCAGCAAATTCAGTGCCTCTGCAAAGAAAAAATGTTTCCATTGAGCTCTCAGATAACTTCCTCAGTATCATCAGACAATCAGACCATTAATTAATATAAAATGCAACAACTTATAGATATGTAGATTTCATGACTGTTTGAGTTTGTGATGCTTAAATTATATTTTGCCTCTGTATGTATATTCAAGAATTAATGCCCTGTGGACAGATACATATTTTGGGGTCCATGAGTTGTGTGCTGTTCTCAGAAAGGGGAAAACACTCAGCAAAAAAAAAAAAAAAAAAAAAAAAAAAAACAGACAAAAAAACTCCAAACTTGTTATTAAAGGGGATGCAAAGGAAATATGTTCTCGAGTAACAGTTATGATGTCAATAGCAAATGCTCCTGAGTCCTTTGTAAACACTCAGAAAGGTTCAGGCTAGTTCTTACCTTTTTCAATCCCGTTCATCCATCCCTAATTACCATCTGTATTTGCCATCTGCCTAGTCCTATTAGAAGGAAAGAGATGGTTAAGAATGCAGAGCAAATTCCTGTTCTCCTGCACAGTGATTTTGATACTGTCCTCCACATGCAGACTTCCTAGCACTATCCTAGGAACTGTTTTGCTCTGTAGGAAGTGTTTTTCCAGAACCACACATCTTTCAATCAAATTCCATTTCTAGTTCATCCGCTATGAGGAATTTTCAGTGAAATTTCTTACAGGAAGCAAGTAATCCTTACATATTAGCATCTTCTTGTCTTGTGAAGCTGTTCTCTTTATGGATTATCTGTCTTTCATGCACTTAGGCTCCTGTATTTTGTTTTGTTTTTCTGTTGTTATAATTTCATTTGGCTACAAATACAAGAGAACTGGAAATATGCATCTTAATGTCCTTCTTTTATCATCAAGCAGTGAACATCCGTTTCTTAAAACTTACTAATGCATTTCTTTTGATGAATACATAAAATAATTAAGCCTTGATTATTTCTTCCTCCACCCTCACTTTAAATTGATGGATACAAACTCAGTTAGCAGAAGTGGACTGTATTTTCCCTAAAGGAACAATTCTGGAGCAGTATCATAACCTGGCACAGTCTCCTCTTTATGTAGTGCTCTGCGACAAGGTTGCAGTTTGCCCCTACAGCTCACATCAGCTTAAACCCTGCTGAGGTTGGTGAGATTTAAGAATTGAACTAAAATAACTGTCACTCTACGGGTGAATGAGGAGGTTACCCTTATTTTGTTCCCTGAGACTATCTTAATTTTATTTCTTAATTTTTTGGTAGTACTTACTATGTATTAGAAAAAGTTTCCTAACAAACTTAATCGGAAACAGCTTGTTTAGCTGCTAGTTCTAGGACTGTTGCTGATGATGGAATAATACCATACCATGATGTTCAATATGCAATTTTGCTAGCCTCTTCTCAAATTTAAGAAGAAAAATCCTAGTCTAATAAGCCAGAAGATGTTAGATTTCATTGAAAATTAATGTGGCAACATTGTGTATGTAGTACTCTTTGGATTATGAAACATGTATATTCAGTAAATCTATTGTTCCCATAAGTCATAAACTGAAACAAAGACAAACAAAAAACCTGCTTTTCAAATAATGTTCTTCTACTCTAAGCACCAGCTTTCAATGCAGGTGTGTTATTGTATTCCCTTGTCTACACATCTACAATTTGAAGTGCACTCCCCATTTTTCATAGCAGTGGGTATCCTGGTAGCCTGTTACTCCACCAGGAGTTTAAACCCTGCAGTTGCCTGTGCAGTCAGGCCCCAGATACGCAGTTACCCGTCCTGGTACTGCATGCCACTCTTGGGATAAATGTTTCTTTGCCTTAGTCCTGTGGGGTGATTTGGGAAATCATTACATGAACGGAATTCATTCATCTTAAGTCAATCTTAATACAGCCTGCTTGTGTTTGATGTAATTATGCTGGCTGAAGTTGCATCTTATTTGCATAATTGCAGTCGATGCTGAGCCAGAGAAAGTGCACACTTAAATAGCAATCACTTCATGAAAACTTGTGTTGGAAACAGGCTTCGTAGCCAACTTCAACCAAGTATCAGCTGAAAGGCTTTCCAAGGTTTGTAAGGAAAAAGGCGGAGTATTTATTTTTGGAAGAACCATTGTGGCAGAATACTGTATTTTGGTTATTGTTGCTTTTGTGGCTAGAGCTCTGCACCACTGTCCAGGAAACTCCAGAAAACAGGAAGTAAGAGGAAGGGCTTTATTTCTCCCAAAATGTCCATCTCCTGCAGCTCTGAGGTTTGTCCTTTCAGCCTTATCCCCCATTCAGACACTGGGTGAGATATTTTGAGCTTGACTGGTGATCTCCAGACAGTGGCGTCTCCTCTAATCTCAACCTCTCTGTTCAAGTTTTTGCAGAGGGAAGTGCTAGTAGGTACTTTGTTAAGCGTGGCATGATCTAGTAAAAAGAGCTATTTTCAAGAGACTGATTTTTGCCTGCTTCTCTTTGTCTAACTACTCTGAATAACACTGAGGTTGATAAGATATTGAGAAAATACCGAGGACCTTCCCTTTAGGAAGCAGTTCAGAAGTCATAAACTAGAAATAACTAAGGATTCCTGAAAACAACAGCTATGTTTTTAAATAATTTGGGCTATTGGTAATTTCATTAAATTTTGCAAATGCTACTAAGAACTCTTGCAACAATTTAAATCTAAATCTATATAACTATCATAAATTAAGTCTCTCTGTAGTCAGATATTTCTTAGAAACATCTTCAGCTTTGTCTATAGAAAAGATAAACAGTATCCAAGTCTTGGTTTCTTTTTTATTGTGACTGCTTTCTGTCAGAAATTTGTCCAATTGGGCCGCTATATTGTATTGCACCTCGTTGCTAATATCCACGCTACTAGCTTGACACTTTCAGGTATCTTGTTCTTTAAGTTTCTTTTTCTTTTAAAATGGTCTTTCTCATTTTTCTGGCTTATATATGATCTTTTTCTTTCTTAACATGTATCTTTTGATGGAAGTTAGCTGACACCAAAATAAGGACCAGGAGTAGGAGAGATATAAGAGGAGAAATAGAGATACTGATATATATTTTGCAGTAGTAATTATTTTGAATGTCTGGCAAAATATTTTGCCAGTAGTTTTAAAAGAAAACAAAAGCAAACAAATCATCAGAGCATTTGTGGTCTGAAGTCAGAATTTAAGATCAGTGATTCAGTTCCAGGAAACTTTAAAATGTACGTGTGACCTAGATTTGTAATCTTGTGCTGAATTTGAGCTAAGCTTTAACCTCACAGCTGAGAATTTCACAAGCGCATAATTATTTTTGTAAGTGTTGCAAATGCTGTAAACTGTCATAGCAGTCCCGGAATTTTTCAATATTCTGTTTACTTGCTCAACCATCAAAGAAATATTTTTAATGTTTTTTTTTTTTCTTCCCAATGAAAGGTGTGTGTATTTGCCTCAGTCTTACATCTAAAAAAAGAAAAAATATATAGTAGGCATGAATGGAAGTATATTTCACTGTTTCTTTTCTTGGACCTTTTCCTTGGAAATTTTAGATTTCCAAATGCCACCTTTTAATGTGCTTTTTGAATTAAGAGGCAAGACTCGAGCTATCAAGATATGTATGTATGATGTACAGATGTAGTCGTTTTTCACCTCTACATTTTGGCTGTTTGAGAACACTGAGTTCAGAACACTGAGTAAAGGGATCTTCCCTCTCTCCAATAGCAGTCAGCATGTTGAACAGCAGCTGGGCGGGTGGCCTCTGCAAGAGGTTCCAG